AGACTTCGCTGTTGTTTGTTCATTATTATGCAGAATGAAGTACCAAGGCTTTTTGCATTATTACATCTTAGTGCAATCTTGTTGCGCCATAATAAGATCTTGTAAAGAGAGGGAGTCGATCCTCTTACAGAACTTTGTTGAACTTTTTGTATTTCTGATCGTAATTGAAACACTCTGATCTGTTCTTGACCCCATCGATGATTTGAAAATCACTTGTAAATTGAACACTTGTTTACTTGAATAAATGCTATTGTTAGCTGCAATCAACTTTCTTTTTAATCAAAAGCCTACGCCTCTCATAACTTTTGTTGCTTCAGCACCACAAGATTACCCAGCAACAGGTTCTACTAAGGCCATTTGTAAGCAGAATGCGGCCAGGTGTTAGCAACAGTACATCTCAGTCTTGGTGAGCCTTTTTTTTTTTTTTCGAAAACTCTCCCTGGCTATGCCTTTTGGCAATGCTATATATTATGATACTGCAAATTGAAAATCTTATTGTAAATTAATACTTGAACACTTTACTTGAATAAATGATATGGTTAGTGAATGTACCTGAAATAGATTGGATGAATAGAAGGATATACTATAGGAACAAGAATGCACCTGTGTTGTAATGGCTGCAGGATAACGGGATAAGAATGTACCTGAAATAGATTGAATGAGTTTCATTACCCTTCAAGGTAGGGAATGAAGAAAATGAGAATAAATGATCAAGACAGCACAGTACCATTAAATGGGCTACCTGTGCAACTTCCTGTAAATACCGTTAGTTGGGCTACCTGTGGCTCATGTAAATCCAACATGGCTGCCGGTTGTTAAAGTAGAAATTACAATAACAAACTGTCTTTCTTGAACGATCACAACAAGATGCATCGCAATCTTTACCCTGCTACGGCTCCTAAGATCGTCAATGCCCCGGTGGTTATAGCCATGGTTGGTTTGCCCGCCCGGGGAAAGAGCTACATATCAAGGAAGCTAGCCAGATATTTGAACTGGATTGGAGTCAGCACCAAAGGTAATCTTAATTATCAAGACATAGAAAATCTTTGATTTATCGACATTTTTTTTATACCTTGAACAAACTGGGTGGTTTGAAATTGAAAGTGCATTGACCAAGATTACTATCAGCGAAATCTAGCGTTAATTAAGGAATGGATCATAAGTAGCTGTGCGTCCATCGAGTTATGGATGCAC